AATATAACAAGAACAACAAAAGTCCACTTCAACTAAGCATTTCAGCACAGAATTGACTGATTAATTTGTTTTTATGGTTTATTAACCCTTTGTGGATTATTTAAAGTTGTATCATTTTGTATTATAAGAATAATTCTTACTTTGAAAGTGAATATTGCATTAATAAATTTTTAAGAATAACAATGATTATCCCAGATCTTACTATTTAATGATTATCCCAGTCTTACTATTTAACCCATGCCTGGGGGATGAAATGGATTCATACTTTTCCCAAAAGTATTTGCCCATAAGTGAGTGTAACAAACTTGACTGGAATTCAAACTTAGCTCTTTGTATCAGCACAGAAAAACTCTTGATAAACATCAATGTCATGATTATGATTGATTGAGCGATTTATTGATTGATTTGCTTAATGACATATCAACTCCTCATGGGTCATTTAACACCAAAATTTAATTCTCTTGGGAGCTTTGAACTAATAAAAATACGTTATTCTGCTTTCACAATTGAATACATGGCAGATGATAATCAACTTTGGCATATATGCATGTTTGTGTGGACATAATTACTAGATGCATATTTTATGTTGTAGTCTTGTTGAATATATTTTGAAGTCCAGTTTGATTTAAGAAATTGTAGGATTATGTAGATTAATGTCATGAAAAAGTTCTTTCATGTTGGTTGTTTAGTTTGTTGATTTTGTTTGGTGACATATCAACCACTATGGGTTATTTAATGCTAGAATCTAAATATTTGGAACATAATTTTATGGCTTCAACTAAATATATTTTGAACACCATTGTATGCCTTCAACTACAGATAAAATGTATTGTTGGTAATTTTTTTATATATAAAAATGTATTGCTGGTATTTTTACTATAAAAATGTATTTTTATAATTTCATAGTTTGTTGGGGTTCACTATTTGCCCACAGTTGGGACCCTAACAGGTGCTACCACCCTGGGTTAGAGTGGACCTGGGAACAACAACAATTAAGAGATGATACCACACTCCTCAAAACTTCCAATTTCCCAATCAGAGGCCTTGCTTGGTGTAGTCTATTGTCATACCCAAGAGTAATGTGATGAAAACATTTCAAATCATTAAAGAGTAATTCTTAAAAAAAAAACAAACAAAAAACAGCATTTGAATTTGATCCAAAAAATTCTTATGAAGGCCTATATTAATCTTCTTCAAAAGTGAAATAGGACCAAGAAATTTTAACCTATCTGTGGCTAAGAGGTCATGATGTCTCACTTGCCCAGTCAGAGTTGCAATTTAGATAAAGCACATGCATGGTTCTAGTGCTTCTAAAACTATTGCTAATTTGCATGTGTGGTCAAAAACCTGAATAAATAGTGAACCATAGACAAGCAGAGACAATGATCTATAGAACTTGACCTGTGCTAGGTGCAACTATCAACTATAGTAATGAAATTTGTTTTTGTATTGTATCACTAGCAGGCATTTCCCACTTGCTATCACTTCGCAAAGTAAGATATATTCATTACTTGAAATCTTTGAAACAAAAATTTTAAATGAACATTTCATTCATAAATTGGCTTGTTATAGTTAAGGAAAGTTTTACAAATAGATGCCAACTTTTTGAAGCCAAGTTAAATACAAATTTCAAACACTTTTAAGACGATATTCCTTAACCAAGCTATTTTTGATATGAAAATCAAAATAATCCTCGACTAAAAGAAAAGTAATGAAGGACAGTTAATTAATGAAACAAACTTTTTAAAAATCAATAATTAGTTAAACTTGAAGAGTGATATTGCCTAGGAGTAGACAATATATAATAGAGATAGTGTGCTCGTGGGGGGGGGCTTAAATAATTACAAATTATTATAAAGTAGTTTGTAACACATTTATTTATCATCTCTCAGTTGCGTCTCTGTCTTTGGGCAGAGTGTGCTCAGAGACAGCTCTGTTAAAGGAGATTCACAACTAGGAAAAATTATACTGAGAGGTGCCCAGCCCTGGGGAACAACTGCCCGAGGCTACACCCTCTCATGTTCGTGTATGCTCTCAGGATCCCACTTTAATCTGACCTTGTGCCACAACGTGACTTCATGAGGTGGGGGTGGGCGGTGAATACCAAATTACTATAAAGTAGTTTGTAACACATTTATTTATCATCTCTCAGTTTTGTCTCTGTCTTTGGGCAGAGTGCACTCAGTGGTGGCTCCATCAAAAGACAGAGTCACAACTGAGGAAAATTATACTGAGAGGTGCCCAGCCCTGGGGAGCAACTGCCCAAGGCTGTGTTCTCTCATTGCACCAGAGAGAAGGATTGGTGCTCGCTCCAAGGCCAGTGCGACCAATGGTTGTGGGGGATTGCGGAATTTTTGTTCCTATCCCGGATATACATGCTTGGGCTCCCCACATTAACCCAACCTTGTTTCGCAACATGACTTCATGGGGGGGGGGGGGTAAATATCAAATTACGATAAAGTAGAGCTGAGCCTTTTTAATCTCAGAATTTGTGGGAGAATTGAGCTCCAATTTTGCATTTATTCATATAGATTCCGTAATATGTTTTACTTAATTAGCTGTTATGTTTCTCTCACTCTTCAAATGTTGAATGTGTAACTAATTCTAATTTCTATTTTCCCATCTTTACACTATATTAATTTCATCTTATAAATTGTCCCCTGTTTTGTCATCCATGAAATAAAAATAATTGTTTATATGGAAAATAAGGATCTATGTACATCAAATTGTCTTTTAATTAAGTGGCAGCAGAAGAATTATCATTGAAGTTTTGAAAAGTAAGCTTAAACATTAATTCAATACTTAAATGCAGTGATTAATTTTGAGTTCTGTAGTTTATTGATGCCTATTGCATCTACTCCTCCCTAGTTATTGTGATGATGGCCAAACCAAGTGTCCTCCACAGGAACTAGCTTAAATGCCACCCTTAAAATTTTAAGCTAGCTACAATTTTGGATACAAAAGGAAAATAAGAATTACTCCCCTTGAACCATGAAAATAAGAATAATTTCTTGTTATGTATTAATATATATATTTAACCTCACATAATCTGGCAACCCTGAATCTGAGCTCAATGAAAATTGTTCCCTGCACCTAACTTTTCTAGGGCTTTTGAATGAGCTATGAATCATTGAAATCGGACCAGTGGGAGTGGAGGAGTTGCTTGGACACATACCCGCACAAACTGTACATTATATATAAAATTACTTGTGATGCAAAGTAGATTTTGTATATTAACCAGAGATCCACCTCGTCTTGTCCATAAAAAAATGAATTATAGTGTCAAAAATAATTATAATAAAATAATTATAAGTTATAATTATCATTAATTCACTCGTTCTAAACCAATGAGAATCAACCCCATTTTTCTCCTCTACAGAGACAAACGTGACATTCTCACTATCAGAAAGCAGTTCACATGAAAAGGTTATCAACACATGCATCAATGAAAATTTCATCTCCTTTTTCAGGCCATAATAGTAACATTTATCTTTTAGCACTTTTTAGCACAAAAAATTTGAGTTAAGAAAACCCTGGTCACTTTTTTAAATTATCTGGACACTCATTATTACACATATCTATAAAAAAAAAAAAACATAAGAGAAAGACTTATGCTGGCTATATATAGTCTAAGTTCTATGCTAAACAGTTTTTTTTCTTCCACTTCTCACTTGTGGAACTCCTATCCAGCCAACTTTAATCTACAAAAAATTTAAATGCAATGTGAATTGCTTATCTGCTGTCCCCCTGATTATTCTTTTCTCTTCCCACTCATTATTAATGTTTCTGTTCCTTGTGATTTAATGGCTTTACTGCCTTGCATAGGCTGATATTGATAAAATAATGCATTCAGAAATGAAGCAGTTTTTAAATTGCAGTATAGAAAGAGTGCAATTTTACCACATGATAATGACCACTTTCATGTTGTTGCATAAAAATGACATCTTGAATGTTGAATTACCTTAAGATGTATTCTCTCAGTTCATGCAAATATTCTCCTAATAAAGAAAAGGAATCTGTGGATAGTCATGAAAGGACAATTAAAAAAATACTGCTGAACGCGAAAGGTAAATTTAGAAGCTAAAAAAACATTTTTAAGAAATAGATAATGCAAAATGTGCACTTGGATGTAAGTTATTTAATAAATTTACTATTTTGTAACTATCGAAAATTTATTAAAATCTGTTGTTAAATAAAATAAAAGATTCCCCTCCAGAAACTTGGAAATCATATTTTTCCATAAAACTAGCGTTTAAAACTAATTCGGTTGCAATTTTTTAAGTGATCCTTTAAAATTTCACCTACTTTAGTTCTGGGTATATACAATAACTTTATTGACAATAAGCCATAGTACTTTTAAATTTCATTTATTTCGGCATCACCGTATTCTTTAAAAAACGGACATTGGCAATTTTATTTCAAATTTTCTTAAAGAAATTTGTTTTTAAGCTTGCTTCTTAAAAGTAACGATGAGAAGAAAACGAAAAAAAAGCGGGTGAATTATTTAATTCTTTTATTAATCAGGTTAGGCATCTAAGAGATTGCAAATAAAACACATAAAAAGTGTCCCAGTAGAAATTCAATGAAAATTGATATTTTAACAAATAAAAGCACAACTTGTATGAAAAGTTTGGCTTTATTTTAATTTTATTCTTCTTCTAATGGTCCAATGGTTAAGCCTTAAGGCAAGGCTTTAGTTTAAAAAGAATGCTGGGATCTCTGATTTGTAAATATACTTACTAATAGTTTTAAATCTGTACACGCTTACATTTACAGAAAATGAATAAATGTTAAGAAACAATAAATAAATACTACTCATACAGAGTACGAAAAAATACTATTGAGGTCATATAAGAATATTAGGTTATTTTTAATTTTTCAACTTCCGGATTACTATCGTATTCATACGTTTGCTAACAAACTCCGCGCATGCGTAAGATAAAGTTCCGGTCGACCATCTTGTTAGTGTAAATCACGCTGTACGCCATTTGTCTTGTTAGATGTTATTTGTTTTTTTTTTCTTCTCTACACCATCACTCACTGTTACCGTCCTTTACGATGCACTCGTTAATAAACTGAATTAGTAAGTAATTTTAGTGTTAAATATTAGTCTTGTTATTTCTAACTTAACGCTAAACATCACATACGCGAATCGAAAGACAAGCCTTTTAGATTTTTTTTTTTTTGTTTAATAAACTATCCTTATGTGACTTGTATAGTTTAGGAAACGAAGTTGAAAGCGGATTGGAGTTTTTTTTTTTTTTTTTTTAAGTAAAGACAGGTTCCAGTAAGTAGTGAGGTGTAGAGATATACATTTGAGTGGATGAATTATGGCGGCCAGTATAATCAATCCGACCACTTCCTGCTCATCTCCATCAGCCGCCGTGGCTGTAGTGGCAACAAATACCCAAGCTGCGGCGGCATTACCACCAGAGGTAAGTTAAAAAAATGTTTGTTTTTTGTTGTTTTTTTTTACTAAAAACTGATGTGAAGAATTTAACCATGTATTATTTGTCCTACCTAATAAGTTCTGTCAAAGCTACCAGCAAAATAAACTCGATCACTTTCAGTGCACCCATATAGTTAAAATAGAAATAACAATTTGAATTAAAAATATATATCTTTAATAATTTCAAGGAAATTGTCTAAGAATTCTAATTTAAAATCTTTATTTCTGTCATAAATTACTTTTACCTCGCCGGCTTCCTCCGCAAATCAACCCAATCAAATTACTCGTCTTCAGTCCTCTTGTTCATTAATCAGTTCAAGCCCGACTGAATTTCAAATTATTCTTAAAATTTCAACTAAGAAAACATAAATTTCAGATAAATTAAATGAATGTTAATATTTATCAGTTTTTTTAAAAGTTCTAAAATAAATTTAATCTTAATATTTAAGAGGCGAAGCAAAAGAAAGTTTCGCAGTTTGGAGGGTTAGGTAGTGGGAAGGTTTGCACCCAAAAAGGTCTTTCATTTATTTTATTTTTCTGTAACGTTAAGACAAAATGAAAGCTGCTTTTCATTTTTAAATTGTGAGCATCTTGTAAAGTGATTGAAAATGCAATCAGCTATTATTTTATTCCAAAATATTTGGGTAATTTTGTGACTTTTTAAATTTAAAAACGAAAAGGCATTATGGAAATTAACAGTAGTAACCCCGTTTATTCTTGTCTAGATTTAAATTATTTTTAGCTGTTATTTTCAGATTTTTGTTTTGCTTGGTGATCAAATACGAAATTTGTAGTTCCAGCTAAATAAATGTCATTTTTGCTTTTTAAATATTTTCTTATAAAGCTAAATTTAAAGGAATACTTACTTTTTTTGTCATTGGATTTTTTAAAATATAAACTAAATGACTAAATTTAAATTTAGGACTTAAAAAAAAAAATTATATTAAATTAAAAGTTAGACCATTTCTCGTATGAGGCAAAATCAGTTTTTTCATTCAGTATCTTTTTTGGTGTTATGATTTTTTTTTTTTAACATTTCAATATTGGTTCAATCAATTTCCCATATCGAAATACAAGTACACGTGGTGTTCTTCTCTCAGGCAAAATGGCCTTGCACCATCTCTTTTCTCAGTGAAAGAACAGTTATTAACTTTTCAATATAAAGTTAGTAGTAATACACATTCTCTTTTTCTTCCTTTTTTGAGGAGATAATTTCTTAGGAAGGAAAGAATGCGTTTTTCATCCATGACTCTCAACAATATCCTGTCCTATGTAATGTACTTTTAAAAAAAAATTCTCCTTTTGCTTTTTTTTTTTTTTTTTTTTTTTTTTAATTTGTATTTTAGGAAATAATCTGATTTAAAAAAAAAAAAAAACAAACAAAATCCTGTAAAACATTTCCAAATAAAAAGAATACAAAAAAAACATTTTGAATTTTGATTATATACAAAAAAAAAAAAAAAAACTGGGGACCCGGTAAACTAAAGTAATTTTATTTTCAATCGTGAAAAGCCCTTTTTTTTTTTTTTTTCTTTTTTTTTTTTAAGGCTTTCTTTTATGATGTGTCACAGATCCGTTAACTAACGATGGCTTTCAGCGCGAACTTTTTCAACAATGTTCTTTTATGAGCGGAAATATAAATAAATAAAAACTAAGTACAAAAAAAAAAAAAAAACTCTTTAAAAAGTATTGTATCGATTTGGCACTATTATGATCACGATCTTCTCTAAATTTATGAAACAAAAAAATTCTTCGTTTCTGAAATGTGGCTTACGGAATGAAATATTAAATAATAAACAAGTGATACAAAAAAAAAAATTCTCGAAATTTTATAAAATAAGTAGGTGTTTAACAAAAGTTTAAAAAAAAAAAATTTTTTTTTTTTTTTTTTTTTTTTTTTTGCAAAGATTTTCTAAAAAAAAAAATTAAATAATTTTGTCGGATTTTCATGCAATTTTCAGGACTTTACAAATGAAGGGTTTTTTTTTTTTGTTACATCTGTTACTAAAATTAAAATTATTTTAAAAATCATGGTGCATGATGATTTCAATTCTTTTCAGTTTTCACTTAGTAAATAACTTAACCTAAAAAGGAAATTTTGAAGATTTTTGTTTGAAACTTTATAAATCATAATTAAAAAAAAAATGAAAACAATTCTTGTAAAAATTCATTATTCGAGAAAGAAAAAATTCTTCAAACTAATGCCCTTAATCATTTATAAAATCAATTAAAAGCCTATCTAATTAAATATCATAGTTTTTTTTATCAGTTTGAATTTTTAAGTTCAGAGCAGTTTTTCAGGAATTGAATAACTGCTTTTTGGTGGGGGGGGTAAATTACATTCTCCAAGGAGTCCAGTGTTTAACAAATTTAGAGGATGAAATTTAATTTCTAAAAACTTCACCAAATTAAGTAGACGGCAGATGACACACACACACACACACACACACACACACATATACATACACATATATACCAAGACTTTCTAAAAAATAATAATTTAAAAAATAAGTTCATTCATTTGTAAGTCCTGAAAGTTTCATTAAATTTTGACAATTACTTGATTTTTGCAAGTATTTACAAATCCGTGTTATTTTACTGGAAAAAAGGTGCTAAAATTTCCATAGTCAACTTTGTTACACCATTGATACATTTAAAAAAAAGCGGGTGGGTAACCAAAATTTTGAATGTGTTAGAAAGGAGTAAAAAAAAATAATTAAATATTTTGGTTTTTCCTCTTAATAGTAGTGCATAAACATTTTGACAAGTCATCTTTGTTTTTATTAAGTTTGAGGCGTTTTTTTTTTTAGCAAAACAGTGGAGGTACTTAAAAACCATCAATTTCTTTTTATAAAACAGGAACCCCGGTTACCAAAAATCTGCTCTAAATTGTAAAATAGAAAAGCTTAGTACACTTCAGCACCCAATATTTAAAAAAAAAAAACTTTGAAATTTTTTTTATCTGTATATGTGCTGATTTTTTGTAAATACAGATGACCATACATGACATTATCAGAAAATAAGAGCAATAACTATAGTAAATTTAGTGAAACAGATTACAGAATATTTTCCTAAATTTTTAACATTAGATAACCTCCCATCTGTCATCAAAGTTGCCAACACCTAATATAAACCGCTACCACTCTGTTAACAAAATGCATTTCTACAATATTTTAAACTTAAAGTTTAAAATAGTAATGTCTCCAATCAGATTAATTAAACATTAATACAATTATTCTGCAAATAGTTTCAGAAAAGTATGTCTTATTTTTTAAAAAATCTTTTCAATAAAAGGAATTGCATTTCAATGATGAATGGTGCTGAAATCAGTGATGTTTGATTTCAAAATTAATACTCTTCCTGTCAATATAAATTAAGTTTTGAAATACAGCAAAGTAAATTGCTTATTAGAAATATTAATCTTTTCTGTTCTTCTGTCCTCCTGATTACGCTTTCCTCCTCCCACTCATTATTAATGTTTCTGTTCCTAATTCTTTCACACCTTGTATCTTAGTAGCTTTACTGCCTTGCATGGAATGAGTATGATTTACAAAAACAAATCTATTAGCTTGAAATTAAAATAAAAGCTTCAAGAAAGATTTTTCATTTTTCTAAATTCATTCTTAAACTTCATTTAGCTATTGCATTTCTGTGGAGGTACCTCTGCTTATATTATGAGTTCTGTGAGAATTTAAATCATGATTTTTTTTTTTTTTTTTTTTTTTTTTTTTTAAATTTTAAGATTCTGTACTAATTTGTAGTGATCAAGTGATATTACTAAGTTAAAACTATTTACTAATCTAATACTAATTGAAAATGTTCAATATTTGACATATTTTAAAAAGAATATTGAATTTATTTTACCATATTTGTCTGTAATAAATCGAGTTAGACTATAAAGCCAAAGTATCTAAAACTCAATAAGAATATTACATTGCTTATATTTTCTTAAATTAAGATTACTGGGTAGTTAGTGTTCACATTATATTCATCAAGTAATTGTAATATATCCTCCTTTAAAAAAAATTCAAAACTTTAGTTAGTATTTAACCTCATAAAAAATATTCCTGTTTCAAATCAGAGTAATTAAACTTTAAATCAGCTAATTGACAAAAAAAATTGATTTAAATTCTTTATATATATATATATATATATATATCTCTGACGATCGCTAAAGCATGAAATCCAGGGTCACAAACTCACATCTATCCAACTATATATATATATACACACACAAAGATCTTAAAAAAAACATTAAAAAAATAATTTAATTTGTGAATAAGTCCTAAAGTTTCATTAAGATCTGACAATTTTTGCATGAATTTCTAAATGATGCCAAAAGATTTCTGTAACTAAAACTTTGAACATTCTAAAAAGGGACAAAATATACAAATTATTTTGGTCTTTCCTCTTAATAATAACAAAGATTTTAGTGATAAAACTTTGTTTTTATTAAGTTTGATGTTTTAAGTTTTCATTTGGCAGTAAGTAAAATTTATTTTTGTAAGTTAAAAATACTGAAAAAATACCTTCTGATGTTTTAAAATTAATTTATTAAGATGCCAGCATATATAATTTTTATATGGAAATTTAGAAAGACCAAATCTGGATTTTCTGTTATGGTTCAGAATTGAATGCAGTGAATCATATATTTGTTCTATATCAAGAAGGGGGAATTTTTAAGAAAGGTAGTTTCTGTACTTAATTACCAGCAATTTATATATTCTTTTTTTTTTTTTTTTTTTTTTTTTCTATTTTCATATATTGATGAACCAAAAAATTATGACCAGCTGTATTATATTTTTGTCCTCAAAATGCCTGTAAAACAGCTTCTACTTGATCATGCATGAATTCTGTAAGGCCTTTAAAGTTTTCCTCTCATGCCAAGATTTTAATAGCAGGTCATTGTATTGTAGAAGTTTTGCAGATAATTTTCAATGCATCTTGGCTCAATGGAATTGAGATCTGAGGAGTTAGGTTACCAAG